AAAGCGGACAGGATCAACAACCAGTTGTCAAAATATAATGCAATCGACACCTTAAATCATGCCAAGAACCTTCTCAGCTGCTGCAATTGTCTTTTGAATGTCTTCAGAAGAATGCGCCAAGCTTGTAAATCCAGCTTCAAACTGTGAAGGTGCAAAGTATACACCTTCCTCCAGCATTCCCCTATAAAACCTCGCAAATTTTGCTGTATCACTCTTCTTTGCATCGTCGAAGTTGTATACAGGCCCTTCTGTGAAGAAAAATCCAAACATCCCACTAATATACCCTCCACAGATTGCATGTCCTGTCTTCTTTCCAGCATCTATAATGCCTTGAACAAGTTCTCCAGTGATCTTATCTAAGTATTCATAAGTTCCTGGCTCCTTCAACCGCTTAAGGGTCTGAATCCCAGCGGTCATTGCCAATGGGTTGCCACTCAAGGTCCCAGCCTGGTACATTGGCCCTGCAGGTGCTACCATCTCCATAATCTCCTTCCTTCCTCCATATGCACCAACTGGCAGACCACCGCCAATTATCTTCCCTAGAGTTGTTAAATCAGGAGTTATGCCAAAATACTCCTGAGCCCCACCATAAGTCAAACGAAATCCAGTCATCACTTCATCGAAGATGAGGAGAGCACCATTTTCCTTGGTTAGACGACGTATGGCTTCAAGGAAGTCAGGTTTAGGTGGAACGAAGCCAGAGTTCCCAACAACAGGCTCAAGAATAATTGCTGCAAGTTCTCCTTTGTTACTGTTAAAGAGATTTTCCACAGCTGATATGTCGTTGAAAGGGGCAGTTAGCGTTTCAAAAGTGGCTGCTCTGGGAACACCAGGAGAGTCAGGCAGCCCTAGGGTAGCAACTCCACTACCTGCCTTGACAAGAAATGGATCAGCATGGCCATGGTAACAACCCTCGAATTTGATGAGCTTTTCTCGACCAGTAAAGGCACGAGCAAGGCGGAGCACACCCATGCATGCTTCTGTACCAGAGTTTACAAATCGAACCATTTCAATGCTAGGAACAGCTGAGATTACCATCTCTGCCAAAACATTCTCAAGAAGACAAGGAGCACCAAAGCTGGTTCCTTTCTTCATTGTTTCAGCCAGGGCTGCAAGGACCTGCAGATATATGCAAGTCCATGGAGAACTGTTAGTACATCAAGATAAAAATTCAGCAATTATTAGTCTCTTCTCTATATTACTGACCTATTAACTCTCAGTTGAAAGGGTGATGCATCCCATATAACAAATGAAATTCAAAATTGCATATGCATATGAAGCTATCAAATCATAGCCAAACAAAATTAGTATGAAGATATTCATGAACATTGAACTTATCGCAGTTATCAATAAAAATCATAAACAAGATTAAACAGAAGGAACTATGCAAGGTGCTCAGCACATCAAAACAGTAAAATACAAACAAGATATCAATATGTTACAAGGTAAATTCAGATCAAGGAAGAGAACCTCATCATCTGCATGACCAATTATTGCTGGGCCCCAGGAGCCAACATAGTCGATATACTCGTTCCCATCTATATCCCACATGTGAGAACCCTTAACAGAATCAATCACAATCGGTTGTCCACCAACAGATTTAAAGGCACGGACAGGAGAATTTACACCTCCTGGCATCAAATTCTACCAAAAAAGTTTTTCTTACAGGAGTCAGTGGACAAAGACTTCAAAAAGAATCAGTGAATAAGGTATAAAATAGGAAAAGAAAAGGTCGTGACAAAACACTAAAAATTACCTCTTTACTTACAAATCTATAAGGCATAGGATTAAAACTAATATCAATGAAACACTTCACATATCATTTTTCCAATTAGATATACAAGTCCAAGTCAAAGTTAACATCATTCGCCTCCTGTATGCACTATACCTATCACATCATTTTCCTGATACGATTTCAAAAATTTCTTGCAGTTGCAACACAATTTTACTCTGTTCCCATGGTACCATTGCAGTAATGAGCAAGGACCAAGGAGTAGCATCCATAATTCAATACAGAAGTAAAAGAATTAAATGCAAAATAGTTCCTCTACAGCATGCCATTATAGTCTCAATAGAAAGCTATAAAGTTGTTGATATAAGTATTTATCATATGCATTTCATGTCTTCTATAAGACATTGGTATTGACACTTAAATACTAAATCGTAGACGTACCAAAAATGAAAAACTGAATAGTATGCAAACAAACCCATTTAAACATGACCAATTGAGTTCTTTCAAGTTCAAATTTTGCTTAATCCGAAGTTAGAATGTAACTAATCTACATCTACCATACTAAATTTGTTCCCAGCAAATTTTCTTCTTGATTCAATTTAGCCCAGACATAGTATAATGAATTCATTTTCGATTCAGTTCACCCTTTCCACAACAAACCCAAATGGGACAAACCAATCAAATGACTTGAATTTTAACAAAACCAAATAAAAAAAACCATTAAAAGAAAGTATAAGCTTAACTTGTCAAGATTCAAACAATCCACGAGGAAGAAGAACAGGGCAGAAGGGGAAGAGTTGATAATTACCTTGGCAGCATTGAAAGCTTCTTCAGATTTTTGAAGGGTATAATTCTTCTTCTTATCTTCAACAGAGACGGTCATTTTGACGCGGAAGCCAGAAGATCGTTGAGAAGGAAGTGTTTTACAAAGCTTAGTAGAACAAGATAGCCCCAACCCAACTCCAACTCCAACTCCGCTAATTGAAGCCGCCATTTTTTGCTCTGTTTCTTTGTCTCTCTCTGTCTCTGTCTCTCTGTTGCTCTTATTTCTTCGTGATCGTCTCGTGAGTCGAGGAGAAGATAAGAAATACCCAAACGGTAAAATTGTAAGAAAGATTGGCCACCAGCTTTGGACTTTTGGGTTTGTATACGCCTTGTGGCTATGCGCCGGGCAGGTGGGTGTGGGTCAATAGTCAAAAGCCTTTTCCACTTCTAAGGTCAAAGTTTGTCGGCCGGGGTTTTTTATATGCCTAAAAGAACAAAAAAGGCCCATTTAGCCCAAGTTCAGTTTAATTTGTGTTATCGGGCTTGGCCATTCCTGTACAAGAAGCCCATGAATGACTCTGGCCTACTAGGCCCGGTTTCTTTATGGGATTGAGATATATTCTGGTTTTAAAAATCTTTTTCAAACATTGCCTGCTCTCACTCTCTCTCTCCCTCTCTCGTCCTTGAACAACATGCACCACTCCAAAGCCAAAGTACTGTCCAAAAATTCTATACCCAAAGCCATCAAACACAGCAGTGACGAAGAAAATCGCAATACAAGTGCTATAATTTGAGAGAAAGGTTGATCTTCCGGTATTGACTTGACTCTAATGAAGACTATTTTGATTGGTTTAACATGGGAATGTTCATGGCTTTAGATTGGCCAAGAGGAAGCTTGTTGGGTTGGCAAAATCATGGTCGCATGGTGCAGAGTGAAATTAGTGCCTAGATTGACAAAGCAAATTAAATAAAAAAAAAAAGAGAGAGAAGATTTGAGAGGTCTACCACGTAGACATGTGACGCCAACCGTGAGAAGTTGTACGTGAGGATTTTCAAACCTTTAAACCGGTTGCTTTTAACCCATCAATCCATTTGCCAAAATCCTTAAATTAGTTTCAAAAACCCTTAAGCAGGTAAAAAAAACACCTTAAAATCGATTTGAGAACCTTAAAACCATAAAATTGATTAAAAAATTTTAAATCTAGTTCAAAAATCCTAAAATCGATTAAAAATCATAAAATCAGTTCAATAAAACTATTGAATCAATTTAGAAACCTTGTTCAAAAAATCCTAAACTCGATTTACAAGCTCTAAAACCAATTCAAAATCTTAAAATCGGTTCAATAAAACCCTTAAATTGATTTCAAAACCCTAAAACTGTTTCACTAAAATCCTAAAATCGATTCAAAACCCAAAACCAATTCAATGAAACCCAACAAAACCTTAAAACTAATTCAATAAAACTCTTGAACTAATTTAAAAACCCTAAAATCAATTTTAAAAAATCCTATAATCGATTTTAAAAAATCCTAAATCAATTCAATAATCCTTAAACTACTTTAAAACACTAAAAGCAATTCAAAAAACCCTAGACTCGATATGAAAACTCTAAAATCGATTAAAAACCCTAAAACTAATTTGAAAACTGTAATACCCTATATTTCATATCAGATATGAATGTGATTGTTAATACTTATATAATAATCCAAATCTATCGCAAACAACTTGAATTTAAACTTTTGAGGGCTAGTTTAGGTCCAAAAAGCTTCTAATTTAGTGCTTAGATTTGGGTTGTTAAAAATTATATCAAAGTTTATACCAGTTCGATGTGGACTTTTACATTACTTTGATAGGATCAATCTTGATCCCATTAATGTAATGTGTAACCTTGATGAAGATATCAAGGATTTGACTGAGCATTTCATATTAAATATAAATGCAAATGTTAAGACCTATATAACAATCTAAAACTTTTAAATGTTACGTAGTTTAGACTTAAAAAATTATTAAACCAGTGATTGAACTTGGATCATTACAGAAACACTAAGACTCTAAACCTAATTAAAAAACCCTAAATCTTTTTTTCTCCTAATCTTTGTATGGATAATGAAACCCCCATCATTTCATTTTAACAGCATGCAATCGATTGCCATTATCACCTTCAAGACTCAACACAACCAAATAAAGCAAGTTGACTGTAAATATCAATTTTTAATTTTAATTTTTTCTTCATTGATAATGTTTAATTTTACTCTTTATTTGGATACAAGAATAACATAATATTAAATAAATTATTGTTTACATCAACTACAAGAATAAAGAAACACTTGACAAAAGTTTATGGATGGGGTAAGAAAAAGGACACAAAAAGAGGACGGAAGATTTTTATTTGTGTTTCCTTCGCAATGGATGACCCTATTACGTATCAACCCAATGCAGGAGAGATGTACCATCCGCTGTAGCAATCTTGCCTTGTTATTTTTGTTTGCACATAAAAGAACAAACCATAACATGAATGGCTATAAGACCCAGTACGTAGAAAATCCCCATGTAGATTAAAGGGGCTCAAATGACTATCGGTTGATAAAAAAAACCAGGGTATCTGTGTATCACGAACAATCACGTTACGGCAAGGAGAGAGAATAGAGAGAAGTAATAAGGAAACAAACTGCACTACCAGCTAGCAAGGGATGCGATGGCCTTTTCTCAAATTTCACATAAATCCAAAACAATCAAAAACTAACAAAGCAAGGAGCATCAGAAGCAGCATCCTTCATTCATTCATTCGTTCGTTTTTCAGTGTCATGATCAAACAACAGACTTTGATACAAAAACATTCTCTAATCACAGTTTCATTTCTCGCATATTGCCTCAAATATAGTAGTAACTCGTAGCTACAATCCATATACCACATAACTATTTACAAATGCCACAACCAAAATGCATGGCCGCTCCCCATCCAACAAAACCCCTTCAGCTCACCGAATATCATCTGAGTTTCCTCCCTATCTCCGCAAAGCCATCGACCAAATTTCACAAGACAAACACTTTACAGTATATATCAAACCTCTAATCAATCAATCTCCCAAAACGACTCAAACCAGTAATGACATAAACGCTAAAGCAGAAACCCCTAAAACCAAAAGGATCATAAGGGGAATCTAGGTATCAAGTGTCTTAGGATATAACCAGTCCCAATTTAAGTGGCCTTTATATCAACACTGCTAGCTGTTCAATCTTTCATAGCTTGGTCTTCATCTTTATTATGATTACTAAGAACAGACCACGCGGGAGACTGAAAGAGGGTAAAGGAAGGTATTAGCATATTGAAATGAGAGTGTCCCACCATTAACTAAAGGCTTGCCATCGTTAACAAGGCAGTCATTATAGCGAATGCGCTTGAATATTCTGGGGTTGATGAGGCGAGCCGAACTAAACCAGCCACAGTTTAGGTGAATTCCAGAGATGTCACAGCCACTGACGCACACGTTCACGATCTCCACAGTGTAGGTTGGTATGCCACTTGGGAGTGGGGCTGTGGGTCCCTGATTGATCACAATATCAGCCTTGGTACACTTCTCTCCCCAAATTCGGTTGGGTTCCTCCATTGCTGCTCCTGGGTACAAAAGCAGAAAAAAAAAAAAAAAAGGCTTTTGTATTAAAATTGAGATGGTGAAAGGCTAAGCTATCAAAACTGGTCCACTTTCTTTATAGCAAATCAATAAACAAATGTAATGTGAAAACCCACCAACCCAACCAATAAGGGGAAACGTCTACAGACAAAATACACTTTTTAGGAGGGTGATTCACAGGAGTTGTAGGGTAAAAGAAACCGACCAAAATTTAACCCAAAAGACTTGGTATTGGGGGACACAACGCAAATTGCTTTAAACTTTTTCATCCAACTTTTCTTTTTATTGAAAATGAAAATTCAAACAAAGCTTTGAGTTAACTCTACAAGCACTTTTCTTCAAATATTAATTAAATAGATTAAAATGACAGGCTAGCATGAAAAGATGCTGCTAAATAGCGCACTAGGCACAGAGCAGCACCGATCGCAGTGGGCTAAAAACATTAGGCTTTCAATTACGAAGAGAGCAAATGAGACTGATAAAACTTTTGATGGGATATTAGGACCCCATCTTAAAGATACTTTCCACAGTAACTGTATCATTAAGGTAAAGAAACATGCCATAGGTAACAAACGGTCCACGTTAGCTTCAACCATGACAAAAAAAAATACACAGTCTCACAGACGTGCACCTCTGACATTGAAACCGTACGCTTAGGTATTGAATACAAAACTCTGGCATCAAAAACCGGCCGTCCCAGGACCCCGCCACAATCGAACACAACAATAAGAACCCAGAATAAAATACTGTACCCTTCTGTTCTTTTTTGGCATTTTACTATGAAGAAAAAAGTGGGTCATTTCTCGTTTCATCACTTACCACGAAGAAGCTTGCGGTGTGGCGTAGAAAGTGTGCTGTTCCATTGCTTGATCCTCTGCCTCAACAGCTTCAACCCGAATGAAGAACTGATGTTTTTACCCTGACCTGCAACAAAAACCCAAAAACAAATTGAAAAATGAGTATAAAATGAAAGAAATTAGTTAAAGAAGACCCAGTTTTCTTTATAATTTAATAATGAACAGAAAGAGACAAACAGGAAGATAACAAGGAATTTAGAAGAAAAAAGAAAAACATGGAGAACCCCCCATGTTTCTGAAAGAGAGGTCTCATCCACTTTCATAAAGAAAACAAAATACTAAACTAATATACAAAAATAAAAAGAGTATCTATGCATGTAAATCACGCACCTGAAAAAAGCGCGACGAGGAAAAGGAATAACACGGCAAAGGAAAACGAGGATAGTACCAAGAGGAATCGCCGATTCATCGGTGAAAGCAAAATGACACCAACAAAAAACCCTATATCAGATTCTCTTCTACTTTTTCTCTCTCGGCAAACAATATCTAAAAGTCAACGAGTAGACTCAGGAAACTTGAATCAGGTGAGTAGAGCCACGAGTGGAAGTACGCTCAAAACGCCATAGTCAAAAATGGCAGAAGAAATAAAAACAGTAGCGAGGAGTGTCCTCGGCTGGCTGTTTCAGATACTGTAAATCTGCATCAAAATAGCGTTGAAGATATATATATATATATAAGAACATCACATTCACATCCATCCATCAAAGTCAAAAAAAATGGAAAAATAAAAAGGATATGAAAAAACAACCGTCAGATCAGAAGTAGGCGGTTCAGATTTGACTAGAACCAAAAAGAAGGCCTACAAAGCCTACTAGGTTTCACGAGTTATACTTCCAGCTCGAAAACAATCACCCCAAAACGACGGCGATTCGTACCAGACCTCAAACAATGAGTTTCAAAAACCATTTTATTTCAACATCGTTTTTATTTTTTTATTTTTTTTGGAAACCAAGTGTTTTCTGGGTACAAAAAGTGGCAGTTCTTGAGATAAGCGAAACAAGTGTTTGCAAAGAAAAGGAAAAGAGAAAACAAAAAGATCAGTGAAACTTAAAAATAAAAATAAGCATGAAAACTAAATTCCAAGTGAAAAAAAATACCTAAAAAAATGAAAGAATAGGAGTAGTGGAATTTACTGAGCAGTCGACAGAGCAGTGAGTACAGTGCACAAACAATGCAACAGCGATGCAGAAGAGAAGCAGAGAGGCTAGAGGGAATTTCTCATTTTTTTTTTATTTTTGGATTTGCATGAATAATAAATTAATAGGTTAGATTTTTTTTCATATTTCCTTTTTTATTAAGTATATTTGAAGAGACAAAAATTGCAGTAGAAGATCGCGAAAGACGGAAATGACAAAACAGAAAAATCCCAAAAAAGTTGTTCGCATTGATTGAACTACAATCCAAATTTTTACTACAAAGCTAAGCATTTTTTGCTTTACATTTTTCGATCGAAGAAGGCAAAGAGAGAGAGACAGAGAGCTTCACCTCTGGAGATATAGATGGGATCGATCGCAGAGTACAATCAACTCTGAAACGCGTGCGTTTTTTAGAGAGAGAAAGAGGGGGTTAGGGTTTTGTTTTTTTCTTTAATCCGTCGATTTGTATAGCTCGAGAATCGAGTTGAGACAAAGAGAGAGGAGGAAGGCGAAGGAGCTCCGGGTAATTTATAGTTGGAAAAAGAATTCGTTTTTGAATTTCCCAACTTTTTTTTTGTTTAACTTAACCCTGGTTAGAGGTGCACGTGGCGTGTTAAAAATTTAAAAGATGATGATGAAAGGGTTGATTAGATCAGAGTGTGGGGAAGTTAAATTGATCATTTCAGGTGGCGATGTGCGGGCGGTGGGGTCAGGGACAGAGTCACGTGCGGCCAAAGACAGAATTATTATTGGCGTTTTAAAGGGAGAGAATATTTTTTGTATTAGGATGAGGAGATTCGATGACACGCGCCTTTAATAAGGAATGTTGATGTGGGCATAAAAACAAATAATATTTCTTTTTGTCCTTCCCGGCTGGTCATGCTCATTGACTCCCTGTCTGGTTTGTTGGTTTCTGCCTTTGCTTGCTGGGGTAAGGAAGGGTAACACGCTTTGGGAATTAAGGGAAATGACACTGTGAGGATCTAAATGTTTCCCTAAAAATGTAACTTGTCCGTATATTGCCTAATGTGGCAGATTTTCATTCCCATGTTGACACATTGCCACCTTTATCCTATTGAATGATCTAACATGTTTTGTTTTTGTTATCTTATTAATTAGACGCCTGCTGGCTGGCTATTGCATGTTTCTAATCAAATTAATTAAAGATACAGGAAAAATGCTCTTTCCCTTCTCGTATATATTACCAAACAATAGTTTTTCTACGTCGATAGTTAAGAATTAGTAAACAATTTCTTTTTATAATGGTGTTAATGCTCAGAATTCATAGACAAAATATTGCATCATCAGAAAGGGGGGAAGGAGATGATCCGGTTAGAAGAAGTTGACAAAAACAATGCGGGTTGATGTTAGACGATACACGAGAAAGGAAAGAAAAAGGTCAAAACACCAATGGGGTAAGAGACGATTGATAGGGCATGTGAGCGAGTGGATTTCCACATTTGTATGTCTTTTGGGGACCCGGAATGAAAAGGTAGAGAGGCTGAGCTTTTGTAGCAGTCCCGAGAGAGAGAGAGGGAGGAGGGCTATGGGACCTTTGGGTACTTTTTCTTTTCCATGTTTTTGGGGTTTAGAGACTAAAATTAATTACGCTACAAACGCGTTGTTTCTCTTTTGAGATCGGACACACATTGTCATCATTTGCCTACAAATATTGCTGTCAAGGTAGGTGGTGTTGTCCTCGAGCTTGCCTGGACAACACACAAAGACACACTGGTCAGCTCTAAACATCCAACGGAGAGGGCCTGCGGCCTGCCACTAGCGAACCCTTTGTCGCTGCTGCTGCAGCAGCCTCTACGCCCCTTAACCAAGTACGACTACTACTAATACTAATAACCCAACTTCACGACACACCATGCGTCCTTTATGCTACAGACATGCATACCTGCTGATGTATTATTTATTAGCAGACTGCACTCAGTGGAGAGGATCACGGTTGTGACCTAACAGCAGTGAACTAGTTGTGACGAATATTAAGATAAATTTATAATAATTAAGAGGTCCCTTGCACCTATGCTGGACACTTGGGAGTGCTTATGTTATAGGATTTCAGTCCATTTGAATTTTGATTTTTTTTTTCTTAATTGATTATGATCTCGTAATTGCGTATGTATTATCATCTCTTACCATGCAAATGAATTTTGGATTAGAGTGCGGAATAAATAAGAGAACGGTAGAACAAAAAATGGTATGGAAATAACCTTTCTTTTCCCTTCAAACAGATAATTAGATGCTCCTGGACATTGTTTTCTTTTTATCATTTAATTTCTTTCCTCATCTTTCTTTGTAAAGGATAACTCTAGTAGTACCACCATTGAACTGTCACACCATACCAGGGCGAATGTTAGCTAATTAATTTCATGGAGTACAGATCATGGCGGGATACTTTACACGTAATTTACAATTTATACAATTCCGAGCCAATATGTGGAATGACACCAGTAAACAAAAATTGATTTGTGCATCTAAGCCCTTGGAATTTCCACATTTACATAACATAAACCAATCACAACCACCAAGAAAAGCCTGTATAATGGTTCTACTAATATGTTAGCCAAGTTAGAGAATATCGAGCTACCCGTAGTCCAAGTTACAAAAAGAATTGCTGTTTGCTCAACACCGCATCAGATGACAGAATTCATGAATCACTTATCTGTGCTTGCTAGACGGAAGTGAAAGCATCTTGCCACCAAAAATAGAGCTATACGGGCTATCGGGGTTCTGGCTTGAAGTTGGAAGATTTCCTCATCTCCAGCAACTTAACTTTGTCAATCAACTCTTGGATGGTATTGGATGCGTCCTACAGTACCAACCATTCCCAATGTCAATGAGTTGTCCCATCCAGGGGAAAAAATCCAAAAAGAAAAGATAAATGCAAGAAAAAAAGTTGAAGTGTTTTTAGCCTCAGGAGAGAGGTGGGGAAAGAAAGGGGGACCCTAGAATGAAACCTTCAGCTTCTTTGTCAAATATAACTCGACAAAGAAAATTAAATAAGAAAGCTTCAAATGACAAAATAAATGCAAAAACTGCAATAGCAATAGGAGGGGAGAAAGAGAGTGAAAAGAATATAACCTTTAGCTTTTTTCTCAAGTTCTCTTCCTCCTTGTCTCTTCGATCCCTCTCCTCTGAGAATATGTTAATGAGACTTTCTTGTTCAAAGTTCAGTTGTTCAATTTTTTCCTGTGCCCCTTTCAGCTAATAAAATGATACCAAAGAAATTAACATAAGTGTAACAGACCAACAAATATAAGTTTTATCAGTACCAATTAAAGAAATGGGAAGGTCAAAAGGATTCTTGCAAAACATAAAACCAATCAAGAGGTCTTCCAAGTCACAACAATTACTCAAGATCCCAATCGCAATAACCCTCACAATTTACTAAAGCATGTTTACACGCTAACCACAGAGCACTAATACAAGCAAACTATCATGTAAATCACAAACTAAATTTATTGTCACTTAAATTCCTACTATTCCTGCATTCTGACTGGAGAAGGCAGCTTACCTCAATTTCAAGTGATTCACAACGATTTCTTTCTTGCTGCAAATCATTGAGCAATTCACATTGACGCTTTCCCTCATATTTCTCTAATCTACAGAAAGAATAGGATCTTCTATATTAAAGTCAGGTCAGAGCAAAAACCATAAAGTCTAATAGATATGTTTTAGAAAGGGAAAAAAAAACCTTTTTTTCAATTCACAATTCTCCTGTTTCAACAGCTCGAGAGCATGTAAATTGGTTTCTGAATGGGGAAGCTCGGTGTCATTAAGACCACACTCCTGCTATTTGAACAAAAGTGATTATTAAACACACACACACACATGACAGAGCAGAAAGATCATTTAGCAAACGATAAACTACTTCAACACAAAAATAAAATGCATGCACATGCACATATATATATGAAAGAGACAGGCTAGAACCATCAAAAGGCTAATTGCTATAATATTTGCCAATAACACTGTAAAACTAGCACCCATTTAGCGACCCACAGGAAATTATTTTTCCCAAGCATCTACTCGCTTCAATGACTTAATTAAATTGGCCATCTTCCAGGACTACAGAATTCAATGCAGCTTTAATTTTTACAGAAAATCTCCTTCAACCAACCCTAAAAGGCAGGAGCTTCAAAGTGGTGTAGAAGTAACATATGCAATCAGGTGAAAATTAAAATGCAAATGGGAAATGTAAGATTCATCAAATTCTTTAACCAAGTAATGCTGCAAAACAAAAACTTGAACTAAAGATAAGCTAAGTGTAAAAACAACCTTTGACTTTGATCGAGTAACAAATTTTTGACTGCTGCCATTAGCTTGTCTCTCAGGTAAGACCTCACACACATCATCACTGACATCCTCTGTAGAAGGGGAAGTTGGTTCTATTGACCTTAATCTTTTTCCTGATTTTGTGAGGTCCTTTGTACTATTATCTATTGGTGTCTTTTTCCTTTTATCACCCTTCCTTAGCACATGTCCACCATCCTCTGTTTCAGGAAATTCCTGACATTCTTTTCCTCTGTTTTTCCAATTTGAGGGCAAACACAACTTGTCTGAGTCTGAAGAGAGTCTCTTGCTGCTAGAAGTAGTACTCTTCTTATTCGATCGAGTAGGTCTTTGTGAATCATGATTGGGAGAAGAATCTACAGTATAAAAAGTATGAAGAGATCAAGTGAGTGGCTTACAGTTCACCATTCACAACCATGCATAAGTTTTAAATAGAGAGAGAAAGAGAGAGAGCAAATAATTGAAATAAGAGATCAGGTGGCATACCTCTGCCTAAAGACTGATCTATATTTTTCTTATTACGGCGTGGAGCATAGCCAATTTTATGACAATTTGTGGACCTAAACTTAAGCAGTTGAAAGTCATTAGTAATGATTTAACAAGGAAACAACTTCTGGGATCCAGAAGCAGCAGTCAAAAGCAAAGAAACATAGTTACCAATGGTATAACTAGAGTGGAACAACACACCAGTAAGTTTTTTGCATTTGTACTAGTCGTGCTTCAAGTCTTGCAAGAACTGTTGTACGCTCAAAACCCTGCTTATCATGAGCTGGTTCAACAAAATTAGCCTCCAAAACACCTGTCATAAAAATGAAGTGTATTAGAACATAAAACAGTAAACTTTCTAGGAGTCTCCAATGCTGGAAAAGTACCTATAACCCCACGACCATCACTCCCAGCAGCATTCCAAACCCTCCAAAAAGGCTGGAGAAGTGGGTAAAGAAAGGAATTAGGCAAGAATGTTGTGTGTGTATAAATAAAATATATATATCTATTTAATATTGATTCTCTCACTGGGTGCTCCATTAAAAAAATGCAAGTAAAACAAATGGCAAAAGCATCCTATCACATACTATAACAAGCAGAACTAACATAATACAGAAAAGAAGTTAGGCAAAAAGTACTGTTTTCCAAGCAAA